AGAAACAAAAGAGTGTAGGCTCACCGTTGGGGGGTATGAAGGGTAATATTGTGGGGACAAGAGGGAAAATGAGGGGGGTAACTCGTACTCACGAAGGGACTTCACTCTGGCGAACACGTGGAATTCCACTGGTGCCTTGCACTCCTTCAAAATACCAGGGCGTTTTCCTGGAGAGCCTCCTTTCCACCTCGGGGTTTCCTGGGCACCAATACTAGAGCTGGAATGAGCTCGATGTATCGAAAGTCCTCTTTTTATCCGCCAATACTTCCGGGCGAATTTTACTGTATTCACTATTACTACTTTCGGGGCACGTGACGACTCACGGGGCAGCTAATGCACGAGTGACGGTCTTTTCTTTTCCTTCGCGATTCGTGGGGGTTTGTCAGGTGTCGAAGTCCTTCGGGTTTTAATTCGGGAGCAATCGGGGCCAATCAGCACGGGTGAGTGGTGACGATGACCACAATCCAGGGATGTCTCGCAAGGGATTATTGCAGGTGTTGAATATTCGGGGGTCCAGTGTGGGGAATTTCCCGGAGGCGATGGCTTCTCCAATTGATCGGGTGGGGCCGGAACTGATGTCTTCTTTCGGCTGATGTCTTCGTGATGTCCAGGGGCGGGGGTAGAGGGGCGATGAGGGGAAAAGTCTGGGGAAAGGGTATCCAATGGTGGCGGGATTTACATTTTAGGGGGCAGTGTGTAGTGGGAAAAATATGTAGGAAAGTAATAAAAAATAAATGAATATGCCTCGTCACAATCGTTTGCTGCGTTTCCAGAAGAAAATATAGTACAAGTGCATCAAATTTCTCCGTGCAGGAAACTGTAATTGTTACTTCCATGCATATCATTTATTTACCGAAGAAATCGTGAGATATCCTTGACTGAAAGAATTTTTTAGTGAATTACATTTCGCTCCACGGTTACGTTCCGGACAATAAAATTGGCCGAACTTTTCTAGATAATTTTTCCTCAACTTTCCTATGCGTATCAGTTTATACATATTACGATGAGCTCAAAGGTGAACCACCTTCGAATTGAATTATCCTCTTTTTTCCTACTACATTACTGTCATACCAATTTTTATTCATGTATGTCTATCTAGCCAGTTCCCTCCAAGCCAAAAGCTAGTCAACTGTGGGTATTGCATATCAAGTTGAAACCTAACGTGGTGAGTTACAGAACATTTTTATAAACAAACTGTATGGGTTATTTATTTAACCTACGTTCTACATATCATCCTAGGTTTTACCTGCTGTGTACGCCTATTGTAATGGAGCCAAAGGTGGTTTATACAAAGCGATTCTGGCAAGGCTAGTGGAACTAGCACCCGGTTTGAAACACAATCTGCATACAATTGTCACAGATTTTGAAGCAGCCGAGATGAACGCGATCCGCAGTGTCTTCCCTACGGTTCGCTTGAGGTGCTGCTGGTTTCACTACACTCAGGTAATTCACTTCTATGACTATTTTATTATACAAACAGCGTAGACTAAAATTTTTATTTAGATAGAGGGAACTCTGAAATCAAACACGATTTTCGGAATACTTCCCAATGAATTACGTCATAAGAAACTATTTCTCCGAGCCCAGTGCAAACGCATCCCAGGATTAAGCGACCCTTTCTTTGACAAAAGTACCTCGGAAAGAACACGGTCCTCCCGTAAGGTTCCTGTGGTTTTTTTGTTTATTAGTAATCCTGTTGCCATGAATTCAGTTCTACATTTATACGTTGAAAAGCTATGTCTCTGGGGAAGGGCCAACGCACGGAAGTAGAGTATATAGCATTGAAAAGAATGAGCAATAACAGCCATTTGTTATTATGCATTGAAACATTAACTTCAGCGTGTTGGAAACAAAATTCCTTTCTGCTTATTTCTGGTTAGGCATTTTTATTTCTTATCTCCCATATTTTCTCATATGCATCGGTCTTGAGGGACAGCCGTTCAGCCTTTGCGATCGTTCTGCGATAGATTGGCGATGTTTTCCATCACCCCATTGGTCGTGTGCATATGACGAATGCCGATGGTTGTGCTGCAAACTCTACTTCATTTTTGGCAGAAATAACGGGTGTACTTATTAGACATTTTCCTCACATCATAGTTCGTCGAGATTGTAAAGAAATTTCATCATGAAAAAATGGAAATTCTAACAATCAGGATCGTATTTGATGCATATATGAAATATAGAGGGGAAACATATGCATGGAGATCCTCACTTCAAAAACTTAGGATGTTTGAAATCCACTGGCGTCTCCGCTTAATAAAAGTCCAGAAAACTCAAGTAAGACAATCATCGAATTTACAGTTAATTGTCAATGGAGCTTGATTTGGTAGTGAATATTCATATTTTTCTTGGAAATTCAAGTAAGTGAGGCAATTCTTCCATTGCTGCTGCCCAAAAAATTGCGATTCCATTGAATTGATTAGATTTACTAGTATAGCCAAGCCGAGTCAGGGCACCATAAAATGATGATTATACACGGAGAGAGATTTCTGAGAAAAATTCTGGTGCTAGCACTGGAAAGTGGGCGCAAACTGCCAGCACAGGAATTTTTCTAGTACTTCCATTAATTTTTCTTTTATTTCTAATAATTTTATCATTACTTCCATTAATTTTTAAAAGGAATAAAAGAAAGATTATTGGGAGTACTAGAAAAATACCTGTGCTGGTTGTTTGCGCCCACCTTCTAGTTCTAGAACGAGAATTTTTCTCGAAAATACTAGAAGTTTTTTCAGAAATTTCTCTCCGTGTACTAGTGAGGTACGTTGTTGATCGCTCGCTGCACTTGCTTCCGAAAGTAGGTGCGTTAACGATGATGGGTTGAAGTGAGTATGACCCATTGGAACCGGATCAAAAGTTTCCCAATTCGTCTCTTTCGCGCAGGAAATTACTCGTCTATCTCTATAACATCGTGAAAACCTGAACAATCGCTCAATCGATTTCAACCAAGATGTGGACCTTGTGACGCCGAGATCCATCCATCGTATTAAACATACGTCACATCACATCACTTTGAAAATGACACACTGAACCGTTCCGAAAAATGTACTGTTCATGCAGGTATCCCAAAAAAGAATGAATACAAACTTATGAGATTTAATTTTCAGAAACAGTAGATTGTTATTTTTCTTGGGGGAAATTTGATGTATTCTGGAAATATTTCAGGCAGTAGCAAGTTATTGGTACGATTTAAAACTGGAGGACGCTCCTCAGATGATCCTTTTTTTCACATGGGCCTTGGCCTTGGCACCCCCCGAAAAATTTCAGGAAGGTCTTGGGATAATTTACAGCCGGATCCTGCTTCATTCCGAGAAATTCCCCAATCTACTGAAGTTTCACGCTTACCTTCAGCGTCAATGGTTACCTAAAGCAGTTCTGGTGTGTGTCTTTGAAGAAGATGATCGAACCAACAATTCAGCAGAAGCGTTCAATCGCCATCTGACTGATGAACTTGGAGGCCGTAAGCCAACTCTTTGAACTCTTTTCTGTAGGTATCGAATATTTGACCATCTCTAAATCATAGAGTGTGAATTGAAAACAGATTGTCATTACCAGTCAATTTCAAGCAATACATCGATCAGACTGATGCAAAGTTGACTCGTATTCAACACAATATTAAAAGTACCAAGACGTATACTACGCAGAAGCAACGAGAAGATAACGAGAGAATCAGAGAATGCCAAAGAAAATTATCTAATGGAGAGTGTGTATCAGTATAACTATAAGTAAGCGTGGACGTCTCCATAACAAGTACTCACTGTGTTGCATTTAAGCAGATATTCATGTTTTTATGTGAAATAAACAAGTATCTGAATCATATTTATAAAACATATTAATAAAACAAATGCTTCCGAATTGGGAATTTTTTATGCAGACACCCACAACGAATCTTCACTTATTGTTTCGTTATTACAATCAATTGATTTCTGTAATTTCCAGATTGGATATGGAGCAATTCTTTTTCGACATAATTACTGAGGAAAGACAGCAAGAAATATTGACAGAAATGGAATCCTTAATAGGTAATCAATTTTCGTTTAATTTCTTCCAGTAACAAATAACGATATCAGGGAGAGAACCGTACTGACTCCCCATTTATGTACAGCAATTGTTCCAGTGGAACCACATGAGTTGGCTAGTAACGAGATGTTGCTCTATGCAGAGAATTTCAAACCAGGTACCTACAGATTTAACTCATACACCAGACGGGAGTTTGATGTTTGATATTTTCGTCGAGACTACCTTTTTTCGCAAACATCTATAGTGAATTCGTCTATAGTATTTTTAATGTTGTAGAAAATTACCTACACAATTATTTATGTAATTATTTTGTATTTAATGAACATTATTCGAAGGTTTTCTAAAAATTTCTCCCGAAAATAGGCCAATTATGAGCACAAACATTGAGGAAAAAATTAAAATTTCCCTTTACGATAATGCCAAAATGGAAAACTTAGGAAAATTTCGGTCATCTTTTGCCAATCCCTCAATACTATAAAAAATCCGCATTCCCTTTCGAGAGAGGGGGGTTTGGAAGTTGACAAATGTGTCATCGAATTTCTCATTATACGCTAGGTTTATCCGCAATAATATCCCAAGAGCGTCAAGATGATCGAGTATTCTCCGATATTTTCTTTGCAAACAAACAATAGTGACAAGTTTTGCAGATTGTCTATTTTTACTTAGCAACGTATTCGTTTATTTTTACTTAGTCGATGTTTTACCAAATTTTACCAATTTAAAACCATGTAGGTTGTCCTGCGGTACTTCAAATGCGGCCTTTCCATTAGTCGAAATTTCTATGGGGAAAATCATTAGTAATAATACCCCAGAAGCCGAAAAATAATCGGATATTTCACGACAACTATGTTACATACAACCGAATATGTTAAGTTTCGCATATTGAAAAGTCCCGGCTGCTTGCGCCAGGGATTTTTCCTGCGAAACTTGGATTCTTGTTTTAAGGCAGGAAAGTTGGAGGGAAACACCCGAACCATTTTGTTGCTCGGGGGGTGTTTGGGGCATCATTTTTTCCCGCGACATTGTAACGAAAAGAATCGTTTGCGGTTGTATGGGTATGCTTGCGGTTGTATGGTTGCGCCATGATAGTGGGAAATGTCCGGAATAATACCCTATAGGTCCCGCCCATCAGCAACAATTATAGTAATTGGTATTCTGAAAGAAAAAAAATTATCTATAAATTTTTTACGTAAATGTGGACCAGCGAATAGGGCAAGAGAGTATCAGCTTACTGATGAAAAATTTCAGAGCCTATAGAAGCAGGTTTCTCGATGCTGTCCTGCCCAAGAGTCCGACCCCCACAGACAGATGAAATCAAGAAAGCACCTCCTACCTATGTTGTTCAACATATCAAAGGGCGAGATGTGAATAAAGCTGTTCAGAGTCTAGCAAATGATAGGCTGGAGCAATATGTGTCATTGGGTAAAGTATCGTTTGTTCCTTAGATGCCAAAACTATCACTTTACTGCAGAGACTTTGATATTACCACAGAGCCAAAAAGTTCCTGGTTTCCAGTGACAATCTCGGGAATTCAGTACTTTAGTACTGAAATCCGGTCCCAAGAAGTTCTGAATTGCAGTGAATTTTCATTGGATTTCATTGAATTTTGACTGATTTCAAGAGAATTTTTTCTAAAAATGAGAGAAAACTGTTTTAGTTCTGCGTAATTTTAACTGAAATCCAGTACCTATGATACTTACTCAAGGCACTTTGGTTCTGGAATCGTTGGGTACTGAAATTAAGAAGGGGTTAATAAAATAAGAACCTTGATGTTCTTCAATTGTCACCCGTGCCTCCTCTGATTATCACTTTCAATTATGGGGTGACATTACAACCTAGGTCAACCCCCCTCCGTCACAGATTGATGCAAATTGCAGAACTTTCTCCCTTCCTCAGTCGCGTGACGTAATACGTAAATGCCCTCAACAGTTCTTATGTTGATAACCCAGGGTTCTTGATTCCTGTACCCAGCGGTTTAAGTACCACCGTTCTGGAATTAAGAACTTTTCTCACTGGAACTCTAAGTTTTTTTTTACATAATTTCAGTAATTTTTTCACTGGAACTAAGTAACTTATTTCTGGATCTCAGTGTCTGCCCTCGAAACTCACGAATTTCTGGCTTTCAGTAGAGTGGTTATGGAAACTTGAAACTGTTTTTCTCTGTGACTACAACTATTATCTTTGATGTAGTTCCAGAAACAGAAGAATATGGCACTGAGAAAAGTAGTCGTGGTACGAGAGCGGGAAGAGGATGTGAAAGAAGGGGAAAGGGTTCCAGGGGATGCCATGTGCCTCTCAAGAAGAATGTGCCCAGTATTAACGGTGCTGAAGGGAATGGGACAAGCTTCAAAGTCACACGGCGAAGAGGTTCGAGAAAACGCCGTGTGCCGCCCACGCCGACGGTCACAAGTAATAGTGGTACTGAGAAGAATGCCACCATCACAAAGTTCCCACTGAAGAGTCACCTAATTGCGATAGGTAATTTCTACCAGATATTTCCCATAGAATTATTTTACCGCTGACAGTCAACCTCACAAAAGTTCAAACACCCTACACGACATTAAAGGCGTCGATAAATGCAACATTGTGGTATTTTGTGAGATGGAATTGGATAAATGTAATTCAAGAGGCTGGTCATTCCTCATCCTGATCGCTCAGTGATTTCCAGAATGGGTTGCTTTTTTGTGATTTATTGAATGATTTCTGTGATTAATCAATCAGAATAGAAATCATGGTTGCTCGTGATTCTTATCATTTTTAGTGAACTGCACTGATTACCCGATTTCAAAAAATAATCGAGGAATCATAATTTCTGGCAGCGTCGAGCGTCTGTCGAGAATGGCAGTTTATTACATGACGTTGTAATTAACGTGTAATTGACGTAATGAATGTTAAAAATGTGAAAAATGTCACTTTTCATCCCAAACCGTGAAGCTTCGCGAAGGTCATACCTTGCGAGGATCACACCTCGCGAGGATCATACGTCGTAAGGATTATACCTACCAACGGTTATATCTCGCGAGAGTCAAACATGATCAGAGTCATACCTTGCGAGAATCATGCCTAGCGAAAGTCATACGCCGCAAGGGTTATCCCTCGCAAGGGTCCAACGTCTCGAGAATCATCTGCGCTGTCGAAAGGTTAATCTCATTATTTATCGCACCTCCTTGAATTTTCGGCGTTGTCATCTCCTGTCCCAACGTTAATTTGTGTAACATTTTATCAAATCACAGAACTTATTCAATTATCTTCGGTCGCTTTTTTCAAGGCCTCAAATGATAACGTGAAAAATGGAATAAAGCTCAATAGATCATGAAATTAACCTCCGCACAATAGGGATGACTTTTGTGACCGAGAACCGCGTTCTAACCGAATGAAGTGAGCTTGGATTTCGCGGTTTATCGGTCCTAGTGATATAAAATAGTATTTCAATTCAACATTTATCAATGATTTCTAATAACCTTATATTCTTATGATTCATACCGATTTCGGATCCTTCCAAGAAGTCATTAGACATCACTGCCAACAATGGAAATCGCTTGATTTCCAATGATTTCTCCTGATTTCCGACTGAATGATCCAATGATTTCCTGAGTGACCAGCCCCTCGGTGTAATTCCGGTTGTTTAAACAAAAACGAAAGAACACGGAGAAGATCATATCTGTGAAATGCACTGCAGAAAAAATCGTAAAATGATGGAAGAACAGTTTTTCAATCCCCCAATCCTTGAAAAAATTGACATTAACTTTTGAGAGGATGAAGATCAGCTATTAAGTGTTTTGAAATGCAATACCTTATATTCATAAAACCAATTAAAAACTAGTGAACTAAGGGTGGTCACAGAGTTGGGAGAATTATTGTTATTATTGTCACCGTAGAGTCAAAAGTGTGTAAAATCTATGCGTATGCACACCTTTCACGCCTCTTTGGCTTTCTAACGACGATATGATTATTTGTCGATGTTGAGAAGGTCAAACACTGCATACAGCACAAAGTTCCCCTCAACTCCAGGAGACCGTTCTTGATGAGGACAACTCATTAGCCAAAAGAGCGAAAATGGAAGAGGGTAGCCACGAAGACCAAAGAGTAGGTTAGTAGTACATTCTTTATCGCATAATTAATAATACGATGAGTGAATAAGCTTTAAACTTGCTTTCATTTTGATAATACTCACCTTAGAACCTCTCCAGATCTTTTAGATGTAGAGCTCCCTCTTGACGATGAAGGGATAGTTGATCTGCAAGTCTTAGACTGGGATCTACTGGCAGGTGCCGAAGGTAATTGTCTCCCCCCCCTTTTAAAAAAATTCTCGAAGTTATGTACGGAACTTGAGAATAACTGCTTTAAGAAAAAAAACATATTTCCTATTCCAGATTCGTTGAATGTAGAAGAGTAAGAAGTATGATAGAGGCGTACAATGTACAGGGATCGAAAATAAAAAAAATTCGATGATACTTTTTTCTGAAGTTCCATTCAAATAACTATCGAATCGCTGAGACGATTTTGCTCATAATCTGATCAGGTTCAAGGCGCATCGATGGGTATAGGAGCAACTTTGATTCTCGTCGTTTATTTAATAGAAATCGTATCACAAAATTTGTTCACAGAAATACACACACACATGCATACACCCGCGCGCATGTTCCTGGAAACGTTAGAGGAAGATCCTAGAGGTCTTGAAACGTGGAGATATGGTGAAATTTCCACTTCCGATTTTCGGGGTCATTACAATAACTTTCCTATATTCGGGAAGTTGATAAATCAGCTTATATCTACCAGAAACTACACTGTACAGCAAATTTGTTACCTGAATACGTTAGAATTAATACTTATCACGGAAAATCTCTAATACCAATAATTTCCAATGCACATTGAAATTCATGGACAGTGTCTTAATGCTTATCATAAGCGAGTATAGTGCGAAAGGGAAGAAGGTAGTTTGATGCCGACACCTACTTGCATTTATATATCGAACGCTCTATTCCTTACTTATATATTGAAAAATGACAACCAATCTGAAAATTACACCCGATAAAAAGATCATACGGATGATTTTACCAATGATTGCTTCGGTTTTGAACCTTAAGAGAGAATTTTAATTCCATGAAGGCTTCTTTATCGTTTCCTTAAAACCGAAAAGACCCTAAAAAATTACCTTTTCTTTTTAGAATTTTATTAAGTACAGAAAAGATTTTGTTTTCATTTTTGAGTTTTCCACGAAATTTTAGGGATAACAATTTTCTGTGGCCCTCCACAAGGTACTTTAGACGGAAATTTTCCGTTCTTCAGACTAAGCGTAATTTAAATTAGCTGACACCATCGAACGGTCGTTTTATGCTCAGAGGATGTTCATCTATAATTTCCAATGAGTATCTACTCAAAAAACCCTGCAGTGATTGTTCATCATATGAGGATTTTCTCCCTCGATCATCTACCCAGATTACAGTACGATGTGTGTTCGATGTTTTGGTGACCTAACTCGAATCCACGGCGATAAACTTGAGTACTTTCAGGAGTTATTTCGAAGTAGTGAATGCTGAGATTTAAAGACAAATTTCTTTGGATGATATAGCAGTATTCTTCATAGGGCCACCGATTGGAGACTAGTATCATATTTGTTCGACTTTTGAGCGCTGTTTAATAATGAATTACTACCATGAATACCGTACAATAACCTATGAACTTCTAGCAATCTTTTCCAATAAAAACCAAGCTCATGAATCAGTTGTTGTACCCGGCGTGGGGGTACTCCTAATTATAGGTTGGTCCTAGGCTTCAAGGAATAAATCCTAATAATAGTAGATAGGCGAATAAATTTGAATTCATTAACCAATTATGATAAATCTGTCATCTAACTGAATACAATAAGTTGCAGCCTTCGTAAGCGTCGGAGTGCAACCCAGATGCATTCTATGTATACCCAAATAGCGGCTTATGACATACATTATTCGTTTGTGTTTCGTAACTTGGTCAGTATAATCCAACCATGCTGGTCAGTGTCGAACTGAAAAAACTCATTGTCAATAAATTCAAACATAACGCAATAAGCCAAATCAGGGCGATAAACCCGTAGAAGAATAATTCACTGATTTAGCGAGATTCTGCCTTCCACAATCATCCTCAGTTTAGTACGATAATTGTTGTTTGGCGAGAGCTTATGATTGACCTGCTGCACAATTTTACCATAATTTGATGACGTTTCACGTTGAGCAACAGCCCCAAGTCTATATAACCTTCCACAATCTCGTCTCGTATCATCTCGTAAGCGCCCTACTCCTGAAGGACCAATATGATGATTATTCGATATTAAATTCTAGAGTGTTGTCTTGAGTCCTATGATGAACTTTTACAAAGTTCGGCAATCTTTCTCAACGACTGGACACTGCAAGTATAATGCAAAAACTCTTCGATGCAATGGTGGTGAACAATCGCTTAGAGTCCAGTATGATGAATGAGCGATGTTTTGATTGAGTTATATAATTATTATGTCTAGGAATTCTTTGATGTTTCGCCGATCTTTTAGCCATCTTTTCAAGTCAGTGATTATTTCGAGCCGAGCGCGACAATTTTTCGAGATTTTGGCGGTGGTTCGCTAAAGCATTGTTTGTTATCCACTGTCAAAATGTTACAATGTTTCAATAATTTTCTTCGATACTATCCTTTGTCCAAATTTTTTCGAATTCATACACTTAATTGAACCCCATTCAGTCATTCTGCGAGATTAGGGCATCGCTTTACGATAACTGATTGCTCCGAATTAAATACTATAATTATTACATGTTCCTCTGATGTTGAAGTAATTGCTGCGTTCCCAGGCCGAACATTGTTCGACTTTTCAGCGATAGCTTTTTTATTCACGGTTGTATATAATAATGCCCTTCGAAATGACGATAGTAATCTCTTCCAAAGATTGATCAGTCTGAGTCGTGCTTGAGATTGGTCTAATTTTTTATCAATGGAGCATGATAAAATACTGCCTTGGCCTCATGGAAGAATGTTACGGGTGTTCAGGCGTTTAACCAAAATGCAATTGCTCACAGAAAAGGATGACGATTCTTCGACAGTATAGCGATATTGTTCCATGAAATACTGCGCGAAAACTATTGCGATGAAACTTGATTGTTTGATGATATGGTGAGGTTTTCTGTTCGATAATTGCCGAAATTTCAATGCGATAGTTATTGAAATTCTGTGCGATCATTCGGCGAGGTTTATGCGATGTTCTTCAAGGAGTAACGGTTCAAATAAAAACAGGGATATTTATTCGATGATATAGTGATGTTTTATGCCTGATAATTGTGGAGAGTTTAGTACGATAATTATTGTTAGATCTGTCTACGATCATTTTACGAGGTTTCTGCGATGTTTTTCAAGGAGTAATGATTCGAATAAAAGGGGATATTTATTCGATGATATAGTGATGTTTTATGTCTGATAACTGTGGAGAGTGCAGTACGATAACTATTGTTAGATCTGTATACGGTCATTGTACGAGGTTTCTGCGATGTTCTCCAATGAATGGTGGCTCAGATGTGGGGGTGATATTTGTTTGATGATATGGTGAGGTTTTCTGTTCGATAATTGCCGAAATTTCAATGCGATAGTTATTGAAATTCTGTGCGATCATTCGGCGAGGTTTATGCGATGTTCTTCAAGGAGTAACGGTTCAAATAAAAACAGGGATATTTATTCGATGATATAGTGATGTTTTATGCCTGATAATTGTGGAGAGTGTAGTACGATAATTATTGTTAGATCTGTCTACGATCATTGTACGAGGTTTCTGCGATGTTTGCTTAGGAATAACGCTTCAAATAAAAAAAAGGGATGTTTATTCGATGATATGGTGATGTTTTATATCTGATAATTGTGGAGAGCACAGTACGATAACTATTTTAGTTTTGAGGCTTTCGCGGCCATGAGTAATGAAATCTTTGGCTTCCGGGTGGATGCCGCGTTTGGATTCAGCGTTGCGCCGACGTTTCGCAAACATTGCAGTCTGCATCTTCAGGGCTATGAGCTCCGATTCTGATACGATAACTATTGTTCGATCTTTATTCGATCATTGTACGAGGGTTCTGCGATGTTTTTCAATCAATGGTGGCTCAGTTACGGGGGCAATGTTTATTTAATGATCTGGTGATATTTTATAATTTTAGACATATCAACGCCATCTCTTAAACATAAGGATCGAACAATTCCGTCGATAAAGAAGACTAAGTCCAAATAACGGTGATGGATCACCATCTAGTATTTGACGTTGTGGCCAATTGCCAGAATTGAAAAACCTGTGGCCAGTTGCAAACGTGGTCAGTTGACTGTGTTCAGTTGCACCCATCTTACCTCGACGTAATACAAGTCTCTCGGATGTTTTTCACATTTATCAATATGCTCTTTAATGCGATAATAATAATTCATACGCCAGGAACACTTTTGTGTCCATTGAGATGTCCAGAAAATTTTAGGATATATTGGATGTATGTTAAACGTTTTTGTGAAAATATTTGCCGTCTATTTGTTTATAATAATTCAATTGTTTAAAACAAGATATCGCAAAAACAATTGGAGATATGAAAAAAAAGTTCCAATCTAAAAATGTCGCCTATGCGAAAAGACGCATATTTTTACATATGACTTTTTTGATATGAGTGGAAGTTGAAAGGGCAGCGGGCGAACACATTCCCGCGGTTGGATCGCCTCACCGCCAAATTCCTGGGAAATTCGTCGGAGATCGAGGAAAATGTTTCATATAAAAACTATTGCGCATACAAAAATAGATCAATTCAGTAATTTGATTTTTCGTTCTACCTCTAGTTGTTAATGAGTTGACCACGGCTTCGTGCCAAATGGTCGGGTAAATTACTCTCCCGTTCAACATTCAATCGCCATAATATCGTTAATTATTGGGAATAGCGAAAAATATCAATGAACTGCAGAGATGCATTCCAGAATGATACATATTTTTTGTTTAGGATTTATTTTTAATATTTATCTACTTATCTTGGATATATCTTTAATGAGAGACAGGTAGTAACTTTTTCGTTTTTGCATGTTCAGGGCATTCTTCTGTTCAATAGCAGACGGTTAGAGATAGAGGAGAAAAGATTGACGAAAACAATGTGTCTTATGACAAAAGTCACATTTTCTCATAGAACACTCCATTGACTCGATTTTTATGGATAGACTGATGGAGAAGGATCGTTTAGTCATGAAGATCACCCAGTAGGCATTACTGCATCTCTAAGAACATTGCTGCCTCATTTACCTCAACATCATCATACAATGTAGCCAGTGTTACAGAAAGACTCAATAACTTTATCTTTATAATCTGATCGTTACAACTGTCTGCATTATAACATTCTCCGTTTCTCTCAAAATATGATCAGAGCAATAGACATTATTTTTCGTTGTTATTCTATCAATTAATAATACTATTGTCGTACCTAACATTAGC